CCTACCAAACACACAGTGAATGCCATGCCAAGCAAGCTGCTGTCCCCTGTCCTGGCACTCCGCATTCTAGAACACAGAGAGGACGTGTGTTCTGGAGATCCTACAAAACCTTAGATAACTCAAAAGAAACTCAAGAACAGTGTAGCCAATAGGAGCAAAGTGTATGAATAACCAATGTAAAACTCGGCACGTGAGACCTTGCAAATAGCTCCTTGCAGGGTAAGAACCTGCTGGAATAATCCCAAGATGCCCCAGCCTCCAGGTCAGTTTTAAACACATGCCAACCTTCTCTGGAAAGAATTTCAAAACACCCTCTTGAGGAAGTGCTTACGACTTACCTGCAGGCACAACTCCAGAGACCACGGAAATCGCGAGGACAGTTTCTCGTATTTGCAGAGCAAACGTTGTTTCTGGAGAGGTTGAAATTAATCTTTGCAATATCCTGTTGAGAAGGCAGGGGGTGAAGAGAGAGAAGCCATGGATTCAGTGATCACTCACAGTCCCACGAGACTGCCCTCAAGCCAGGAGCGGAGAGCAGACAGAGATCTCGGGGCGACTCTTGCCCGATCCCCCAGGCACCCTCGTTCTGAGGCTTCGGCAGCCCTAACGAGGCACCACTTTGCTTCACACCCCCAGAAACCAGGCTGGGGTCCAAAAAGGACAGAGACTTAAAAAGCAAGTGGAACCAGCTCGTTCAGATTGCCGCAATTAAGGCACCTAGCCACTCTTCTATCCCTAAACACTCAGATGAAAAGGGCAGGAAAGGAGGAAAAATGTGAAAAGATAAATATCTATGTATATTTACAGGTGTATATATGCACGTATAGGAACACAGGCATGAAATTATATTATCAATGTACAAAAGTATACAAAAAGCAATATTTTCAAATAGCTTCTATAAAGCAAACAAACATGGACTGACTAGAGCAGCAGAGAGGAAGGGAAGATTCTATAAAGAGGTCTTGAGTGTGGATGTTTCGCTGAGGCTGTCAGCATTGTATTATTTTCTTAATAGGCATAATGTATACTCTCTCAAAATAACTCGAGGCAGCATGGAACGAAGCCTCACCAAGCCATGGGCCTGTGAGAGGGGGCAGCGATGGCGAGCCGCAGTGCACACCCTGCCACACACGGACAAGGCACTGAGCTCGCGCTGCCTCCCATCGCTCATCAAGGTGACTGGGGAAAAATAACAGCAATGACACAAAAGAGCTCATATTTCACCTAAGAGATCATTTCTAAAAAGATTTATTTATTTTTTATTGCAAAGTCAGATATACAGAGAGGAGGAGAGACAGAGAGGAAGATCTTCCGTCCGATGATTCACTCCCCAAGTGACCACAATGGCCAGTGCTGTGCCGATCCGAAGCCAGGAGCCAGGAACCTCCTCCAGGTCTCCCACACGGGTGCAGAGTCCCAAGGCTTTGAGCAGTCCTCAGCTGCTTTCCCAGGTTACAGGCAGGGAGATGGATGGGAAGTGGAGCAGCCGGGATAGAATCGGCGCCTATATGGGATCCTGGCGTGTTCAAGCCGAGGACTTGAGCCACTAAGCCACCATGCCGGGCCCTAAAAGTTCATTTATATAAAGTTCTGACATAGTGCCAGAACAAATACTAGGCAAACGTTTACTATGAGAGTTGTGGACCATTAACTGTGACAAATATACCAACGTGAAATGTTACTCACGGGGAAGGCATGAGGTATATGGGAACTCTGTATTACCACTACTTCACAATGACTATTTGCAAATTTAAATCTACTCTTAAAAAGTTGAATAACCTATCTTGCGGGCACGGGACCTTGACTGAGGGTGATGGCCCCTGGGGAGATTACTGGTGTCCATGGCACCAAGGACTGTGGGTATCCTGCAGGCACAGGACCTTGACTGAGGGCTGACTCCTTGACCTCAACAGAGTATCAGAGCAAGGTTTTTGTAACTTCTGCAAATAAAATAAAACAATAAAACCACAAAATAAAATAATGGTGAGGGTGTGGAAACCTCCATCAAAGGCTGCCTTCCCAGAAAACAGGATTGCAGTCATTTATCGTTACATAACAAATCATCTTAGAACCTCAAGCTCTTGGAGTAAGACAAAAATTGCTGTATTAAATTACATCTCGAGATCTGGCCTTTGGACACGGATCAGCTGGGTGCTGCTCAGTGCGGGGCTGACGAAGACCACTCAGTGGTGTCCAAGCAACAGAAGCGCTAGCCTGGAGGGACCCTTCCACAGACAGCAAGAATGGCTGCAGGCCCAGCCCGGCTGGATCTGTCAGATGGGACACCTGCATGTGGCTTCTCCACTTGGGGGTCTCAGTACAGCCAGACAGTTTGGACTCCAAGAGTGCACAAGATAGAAACAGCACGATCTTTTATAACCTGGCACCAAGAGTCGTCGGCTGGCAGTCAAGACAGTCATATAGCAGCCCAGATAAAAGGGAAGGGCACTTGGCAGCCATTATTTTAAACCACCTCAACCACGTAGGCAAAGACTCCAACACTGGAAGCACCCAAAATGCTGCGAAAATCATGAGTCTTTCCCTAATTTCACTGAGTCAGCAGAATTCCTACACAGCCAGTGGAAAAGGAGTCAGGCAGAAGCGATCTCGGAGCGACAGAGGGAGAAAAGCACCACGATGAGAGAGAATGAACTCCTGTCTGTTGTGCCTGCCCAGGACTGGACCGGTCACCAAGCACGTGCCAGGAACTCAACCCACATCTCCCACACGGCTGCAAAGACACAGCTGCCCGAGTCTTCACCGACTTGCTGTCTTTTAATGTTTTGTGTTATCTCACACCGATGTAGTGGTTAGACTCCCTGTCCGTGGCTCCCAGTCTCACCTGAGTGCACACACCTCCACTCCCTCACCCACCAAGCGCAGACACCTCGAGGGAACACAGGCTGGCCTCGGACACTGCTCATGACTGCTTTGCTGCATGGGTGATTCTAGAGCAGGCAGACAGGGAAAGATCCATCTTCTCCAGAATTCTTGACACCTGACATTGTAGCCTCACGACGCAGCATCTCCCCAACACCCGGAGCAGCAAGTCTGAAACCAGCGTCAGAGCCGTCACCTGGCGGCAGTCCTAGACAAGGAGACGCTCCACATTAGTCCGACTCCGGCCACTAAACTAACACATTCTGAACAAGACCAAGTTAAAATGAATCTCTGAATTAGCTGTGATAGGGAAAAAAAGGGAAAGGCATTTGAAAAGTTAGGACTTTAAAGCAAAGGTTAACCAAGTGTGATGTTTAAGAATTTAAAGCACGAGACTAGGGCAGGAAGGATCACGATACTCCTAAATTGGTACTATGAAATGCATGAAACTTATTCACTTTCTATAAATAGGTTTACATACAGAAAGAATTTAAAGTATGCAATCCACTTCATTGGCTATAATTAGAAATCCCTCTCATTTTGATTTCTAGACGACCCCTACACAGATGTGCTGCACCCACTTTAACTCCATGTCCACGAACTCCTACTAGATAAGAGAGCTTGCTCTTAAGAAACATCTCAGCCCCTGGCTCGTCTTTTTCCAATGGTTTCGTTATCACGTTTCGTTTTAATTTATTCATGTTGCGCAGACATTCCCTCAACTCTGGCTTGCTGTTTATTACTCTTGTAAGACACTGGCACAGCTGGCTGGCTGCTGCTGTTTGCTGTCTTCCATTAATGACACGAGTTTACTGCATCCTTGAAGTTGCTGGCTCTAACCCTCCAGTGTCTGCCCAGTGCATGGGACAGCCAGACGCTATCTGGCCAAAAAATCAGCCACTGCATCAGCATATTAAATACACTACAAGGCAGTTCTTGTGAATGAAATTTTTATTTACACACTGTATCTAGAAGCAGATACATAAATTCTTATACAATTGATTTCCAAAACTGTGCAAGAAATTACTATAATTTGTTTACAAACCAAAACACATATTAAAATCAATGGACTTTGGATAATTCATTCTGTGGTGTTGAGTACAAATGGTACACACCTGATCTGAAACATACAGAAAAACTGTAAACCACAGCAGTCTGGACTGCAAGTATGATTTCATGGCACTCCAATGACGGATGAACCAGACTTAACGCAACACATGTACTGCTTACACAACTCTGCGGATTTCTCATCCTCTCTGGATATAATCTGAATTACTCCTCAGAAACAGCCTCTATGCCTTTGGCCATGTTGCAATTAATAAAAACGGTGTTTATAAAAACGTTCCTTACAGGATGAAAAAAGTATTAAAAGAAACCAAATGTTTGAAGCCTAGCGTACCAATACTTTCAGAACTTGACAATTACTGATGGAACTGGCATTGCCCCTCGTTAGAGAATTTAACAGAACTGTCTTGCTGCAGCCTGATTCCATTTTCCAACTAAGACTTCACACTGGGTGAGAATCAATTATGATTTAATGCAAATATATTATTTTTTTGAATCATTCATAAAGCAGTATCTCACACAAAATGTGAAATGTAGCTAAAACTGGAATTTCTAAAAACAAAAAGATTTAGATTTGTAGCACTAGCAGAAACATTGTTTTAACCTATTGAGAATCTGGGATTTTTAAAAATCCTGTTTCAGAAATACTGGCTCAGAAACGGTTGAGTTGAATTTCCTATTGCCAATGATTTGGGCTTTTGGCACAATGTTTTCAGTAGCAAGTTGGTTGCCCTGCGTAGCTGGTTTCCTTAAACGCTATTTTTAGTTCTCTGATCATTTCCTGGGATATTTATGACCTCCTACATCTTCAGATTATTGCACCAAGTAGAAAGAGAACAGTTTTTCCTAGACAGAAAGAGCGAGTTATTTTTTGAATGCTTTCTACACCTTTCTTATTACTTATAAAAATGCATAAGAATGTCCTGCAGTGAGCCTGGACAGGCCTCAGGCCACAGTGTGCTTTGTGATGAAGTATCTGAGATTTAAAAACAGATTCGTTTATTCGGACAAATAGAATTCATTGCTGTTTTTCTTGCCCTTGGCTTGGATTTTTAGAAGCACTCTCAGACTATGTCCGTATCCTCTAAGTTACTTTCCTGCTGTGCCCAATGATTCCTCCAAACTACAGCATGAAGACTTCCCACTTGCCCTGCTTGCACTACTGGCCAGGCGCTTCAGGACTCCAGCTTGCGCTACGCCCAATGGCTCTGTCTTCACACGAAACAAGAACCTAATGCAATATACCTTTCTGTTTGCAAGTTCCATTTCTTGGCAAACATTCTGATTTTTATCCATATACTGTCAGAACCTCACAATTTCAAATTGGACTAGAATAGATAATGACTTTAAATATTTTATGAATACACAGAAATGCACCAAAAACTGGCTTGTGGAATCGGAACGGTATCAAGATTTAATCTCTAAAAAACACAACACAATTTTGATAACATTTAGATGAAAATCAGAATAATCTTGACAGTGGATGGGTAGATCTTAAAGCACACAGCACTTTAAGCAAACGAGGGGAACGGGCTGTCACCTGACAGGTTCAGGGCAGTCCAGAGACGCCTGTGCGTGGATCTCTGACGGACACGGAGACGCCAGCTCAACATGTATTATCACACACAGTAACTCTGCAACGACACCCGCCATCTAATATAGATGCACAGGGACTTTAACTCACCCTAGATATATTTTAAGTTGTTTAAAAATAAATAGTTTTGCAAAAAAATAGTTTAAATGTCTTCCATTAGTCTGATAGTTCTTAATCCAAATAGCTTATAGTGAACACTTAAATTATAGTATTACAGTATACTCCATATTCCATCTTAAGTGAAAGGAGTCTTTATAGCAAGGTACAATCAAACATTCCACCAACATGAAGTACCTTCCCCCTTCCGTCAAAACACCACGTGGTGACAATGTGCCTTTTCTTGGTACTGTCTCAGTTCTAACTCAAACACAAACAGAAACAGCTGAGGATACGCATTGCATTTAAGGACAGCTAGTAAGTTTGATCCAAGCTCCTTGCCAGTGTTTAAAGGGAGTAGGACAGAAAAGAAAGGAAGAAACATCTCAAATTAAATGTTTTCACATCTGAGATGAAAGCATTTCCCTTTTTAAAGCTGTGTAGCTGGGAACATTTCCTGGAAGGGGCAATCCTAAAACACCATGCCATGGAATCATTTAGTCAATCAACACTCCGCATTTCAAGACAACTAAAAATCACTGGGTATAATGTCCCCACTTCCCCAACATATAACTCAAAGACACAAAATGACTACTCATGCCAGATTATTTAAGACTTAGCTAAATTTAAAAAGAAACAAAAAAATTATTTTTAAATGGCAGCATAGATGGTAGGCGTATTTGATAGTTTCAATAATATTCTCACAGGACACGCCACAATTTTCACAATTTTTCAGCTGAAGTCATTGAGGACTGTTTTGAAGTGGGGGAATGAATGAGTAGTCCAATCTAGCACGATGAGATAAAGTAATGAGATAAAAAGAAAAGCATAAATTCATCTTTAAAACATCGTCTTTGTTCTACCCAAGTCAATTTAAAACTTCATAAACTTGAACGACATACGAGAATCCAGTTCGTTCGTAAAAATTAGTTGTACAATCAAGTTCACCCAGGAAAGTGGGGACTAAGCTGAAGAAGTCATCGATTAAACATTTTACCAAAGGAAAGCACAGGTAACACCAAAACGATGCCATCACAGGAAACCACGACCACTGATATTTCTTTAATAATGGTTCTAAATCAGCACATCTTTATAACTGACACCAATTTGTACCCGAGCTTAGTGATTGAAAAGGCAACAATTTCTAAACTGGTGGTGTACATTTCTTTACGATTTTTTAAATGTAAGGCCATTTATTACAATGGACAAATTACAAGATGGAAAAGAAAGCAACAGAAAAATTTAACTTTTCACAATCAAAAAAATTGCCACAAACCTTAAAATAATTTAGAAAAGTGTTATAAAAGATATGTTTCAGATTTGCATTCCATTACAAGATTCTGCCAACTCACAATTCCAAGTAAACCCTTCGAGAGCGTGAGATTTAACCCTGCTCCGTGTTCATGGAAATGCCGTATGCCACCAACTTTTGAAGATGAGTCATTTAGAAAAACAGCAATTTTCATTCTCTAAGTTTCATTCCACTTCACTTAGGGTTGAATACACATGAAATGTGCTTTGAATGCATAAAAATCACAGTGGATAGCAGCAAAGGTTTGGGGGAGGGGCTGTTACAGACAATCTGACAATTCACATTGCGACCCTCTGCACACTGGTGAAAGACAATCCACACCGCTACGACCTCAAGACTCGCCTTAGTAAAGAACCCAAATTAACCAGGACACCTTGCAGACACGTTCCCACCCCGAAACAAACTGAGGACTGTTTTACAGATAAAAACTAAAATAGTGATGGCAGCAAAAAAAAAAAGATTCTGATGGCAATGAGTCTGTAAACTGTGTTTCAATCTCCTTTCCTTATTCCCAAAGTGCAAGATGCAGGGTTCCCACTCTCAGTAGTGCTTCTCCTGTAAGTAATCCTTCATTTTGTTTGGCAAAGGCAGTTTCTGAATTAAGTCTATCCTGGTGTACTGACGTATAACAAAGCGACACAGGTACTGCAAAGATCGCACCTGCATGAACCGGGACACCGGATTCGTCAGTCTGACAGGGTAGGTGGCAGATCCAGGCAACCGAGACCTTGAATAACAAAAAGCTCCATTCTCAGAGTCCCTGATTGAATGTTCGATGAGATCCACTATAGACGTATGTCCTTCCACATCTGGTTGTTCGTAAAAGCTGAACCTGCCATTTGAGTGCTCGATTCTAGTGTGAAGTGTTTTGCCATGGGACCGAAAGCTCAAGCTTAGGAGGTAACGGTCATCAGAACTGTCCCGAACGAGAAAGGACCCGTCGGGCACGTTGGCCAGCTTTCCCTCAGCTTCCCAGCGTGTGATGGGTCCCCAGTACCACCCTTGTTTGGCCAGTTTTTTCAGCTCCTCTGTAAGGCTTGTCACAACCATGGGACCACTACTTTGCACTGAGTCATAAACTCCTGCAACCCCGGGAGCAGAGTTGGGATCAAAATTCAAATGACAGCGCACGCTTCCGGCCGCGTGGGCATCTGTGCCAGTGAGTCCACCCAAGTTCCTTTGGATTAGGTTATTCTGCATTGGAGGTAGCAATGGTGAGAGTGGGGGGACGGCATCAGGACTCACTCGTGGGCTCTGCAACACGACTCCTGTGGTGCCGATCAGCAAGCCGTTAACGGCCTGATCCACAAAGATCTCCGGGGCAACCACCAGGTCCTGGTCTACCTGACTCTCGTCTTCAGGGAAGGAACTCCCGCCCACGGGTGGGGGCACTGCAGAGACCTCCATGGGAGAAGAGCCATCCAGGCAATAGGCGCGGGTTCCTTCCAGGGGGTACATCCCCTCGTCTAAAGGCACGGTGTACTGAATGTAGTCCTGAGGCACGAGTCCAATCACGACAGGCACATGTTCATCCAGGTGAAGATGCAAGTCCCCGTTGGGAGACTCCGAACCCTTCAGCGTGCTGCTCTGCTCTTGGCACACACTTTCAGACTGAAGGTCCTGAAAATCCTTTCGCACACCATTCAGGGCTGGACTGGGGCTGGAAGAATGGACCAAGGCTTTCACCCGCACCTCCATTTTGATGCACGTTTCCTCAGAGTTGGTGGGCCGAAGCGGCCAAGGCGTGGGGCTGTAGTGGTGGCTGCGCAGGGAGGTGGAGCGGATGGGCCTCGGAGCTCTGCCGTCTTTGAAGACGATGGGTGCGGAGGAGGAGGAGAAGGTGTCCTCGTTGGCAGCGCCCCCGGCGGGCGAGCTACCCTTGCCCTTGGGCTTCTGTTTGGCAGAAAGCCGCCTCTTCAAGGTGCCCATCAGGCTTTCACTTTTTGATCTGTTCTTCCCGCCCTTTTCATCTTCACTGTTGCCATCACAGCTGGCCATCTCTTTACCGTAGCAGCCTCCAAACAAGGCGTCATCTTTTCCAAAGTCACTGGCCAGGGACGGTGGTTGCACCACCATGAAATCAGAGTCGTCTTTACTTTTGTTCAAGTTAAATGATTTCCGAAAGGTCTTGAGACTAATCTTCTTCATTATGACTAGTCACCTAATCCAAGAAGATTAATTTCTCTCTGGAATATTATCCCCAAACATTCGGAGAGCCCGTGGTGCTGCATTGATGCATCCTTCCAGCTTCATTTAAACTTCGGAGGCATTTTCTAAAAAAATGAAAGAAAGAAAGAAAGGTTCACATTAAAATACTTCCACAAGTGTTTTTATTCAATTTTATCCCTCAGCCTTTCAACAGCCAAGTGTCAACTCGGGGTGGGACAGGGATTGGCAGTTGCCTAGCACAGCAGCTCGCTGCCTCCAGCAGGATGGGCACCTGGCAGTGTGAAGGAAGGGCTCTCAATCGGCCTTCCTTTCTGCTGGCACCAAGGCTTTCTGTTTCATCCTTCACGAGCAGGCCAGAGCTTGCACAGCCATTCTGCATCCCAGTTCTCAGGGTCTCCTTCTGCTGCAAGCACCCGCACTCAGCCAGGAAGGCTTGCAAAGACCTGGGAGCTGGCAGGAAGCTGGCTCCTCACCCACCAGGCGCTGTAATACTCTAAGCATCTTTACACATCCGCCACGTCAGAGCGAGCATTGTGCCCCTTCGCCATACCACAGGGTACGCAGGATGAAAGCCACAGTGTCTAGAGGACAAGCAGCACACTTCCTTCACGGAGCTCAGACCCACGTGCAAGGAGCTCGGATCAACGTGCAAGGAGCTCAGACCCACGTGCAAGGAGCTCAGACCCACATGTAAGGAGATGACGAAGCGGACGGCTATGGATGGGAAGACTGTGTCTAATGATTGACTGCTTTTCATTTGGAGTTTTAAAACAAACAACAACAAAAAACAATATTCCATGGCAAATTTTTGCTTCTGGTCCCGAAATAAACTTTTTAAATGTTTGTGGCACATTGTTCCATATTGCAATGTTGGATTTCAATGTCAATTCTGTAGTCCCTCTAAAATGGACAAAAATGTGTCCTATAAGTCGTATTAGCTGGTCACAGTAATAATGCCTTACAAAAATATTTTGATTGAATTACGCATAATGTTTTATTTTTCTATGGTCGTAGTCTACCACACCAAAACCATTAACTTAGGCTTGAGCAAAACATTAACAAAACTAAGAGCAAATTCTGATCTCATCCACAGGTCAGTGCCGCTCCACACCTTAGCCGACAACCACAGCTCTAACCCCGACCACAGTCAACACGTACTTGCTACAGGCTGGCGCCATGCTCAGCACTAGGTACGGATATGCAGAGGCAGAAATGATTTAGGGTCCCAGTTCAGCAAGAGAGGCAGAGACATAAATGGATAAACTGTATTACAAACCCACTGGCAATACAATGATAATACAAGACTCACACAGTATGTTATTGAAGAAGCTGTGAAAATACATGGAATATTTGTAATATTCAGAGTATCTGTTACTCTTAAGCACCAGTTGCTAAGCAGAGGAACTCATTGCCCAGCACCACGTCTTCCACCACAGATGGCCATGACACCCTAAGAGCAGAATCAGACTCGGAGCAAGTTGGAACTCGACCGACTCCACCAAGCTGGGCATGCTCAGCAGAGAACCCAAACTGGCAATGCTGTACTTCAAAATGCAACTCAGGGTTAATTCTGAAGAAGCAAAAGTCAATCCTAGAAATCAGAAACCATGAAAAGTTCCGTCAGATCGCACGGTCCACATGGTCTTTTGTCCCCCCCAACACTTCTGGGCAGAGATGCTCTGCAATTTTTAAGAGTATCTATTTTTCTGTTTGCACTTCCAAAAATATACGCCATCTTTTTATAGGCTCGCCATCTGTCTCAGGCCTAAGTAAATGCTCTGAATCAGATTTACTGCTTTCGCAATTTTAAAAATTTAGGTTTACACACATTTGACAATGTATACAATGGTTCGAAGGAAAAAGTTTCAGACATTTAAGCAAAGAATATTTTATCCAAACAGAGATAACAGCATCTTCACAAAGTTCCCCTCTCTTCTAAGGAACAACTGGAGGTACGGCTTGCCTGTCATTCACTATGCCACCTAGCGAAAATGTTAAAAAGATAGCACCGCATCACTGTTGAGTCCCTAGTGAACAGCGGCTTCCCCGTCAGCCCCGTGTTAGCAGGACAATACTCAGTCTCCCACAGCAGGAACAGAGAGGCCATTTTTTTTTTTAAGAAATTTTATTTTTTTAATAATGATTACATGGTTGATCAGGGTGGGAAGGATTGAGGTTTAGGGAAAATTGGGTGAATTCACTGCTTCCAAATTTGCTATTTATTCTTACTGTTTCTGGGGGAAGGGGAGAGACAAAGGGGGAAACCACTCACAACTTTCCACATGTCCCAGTTCCCAGGGATGAGAAACCGCCTCCTTGTATCAATCCAGTCTCCACGTGTGCATATTCTGAGGGTTCTGTCCAAGTGGTTTGGACAGTTCAGAAATGCGGCCCATTTCAGCAATCCAAGGATGGTGTCACCCTCCCACTGGCTCCATTCACTGAGATTTTTTGCTGTCATCGTTTGTTTGGGGTAGTTGTCCAGTTCGTTCTGTTCTTCTGCTGCAGCATCAAATGTGCTGCCACATTCTCCTTTTACAACAGGGCCTGTGTCCACTGCTCCACCTTTTTCATTAAGGAGGGCATGTTCTTGCAGGCAAGTCCCAGCGCCTGGACCAGGTGTCCCAAGCCCCACCAGATCCCCCACTCCTGGGGCTCACGAACACAATACCCACCTAGTAGGCAGGCCCAAGGGACCCCGGGCCAGGAGGCCCAAGCCCCGCCATACCCCCCACCCCTGGGATTCAAAAAACCAACACCCAACTAGAAGGTAGGCCCCAAGGATCTCGGCCAAGCAACCCACATCCCACTGGTGCCCCTGCCAAAGGGCTCAGGAACCCCTCCCACCACACACATGTGGGCCCCAGGACCTGAGCCAAGCTACACGAGCCCTGTCAGATCCCCCTTCCCTGGGACTCATGTACCTGGCCCCCGCTGGGCCCAGGCTGACATGACCCGCCTCACCTCAGTATTTGCAGTCTTACTGTGCAGCCTGACCTAGTCTGGTCTGCCCCTTGTTCCAGATCCTGCTGGTTTGGTGCTGCAGCCTGTCCCAGCCCAGCCTGATTGCTGTCCCGGCCCTAATGTGAACTGGCTGGTGTCACGGCCTGATCTGGCTTCTCCTTCCCCCTGCCCTGGTTCTCAGATCTGGCAGTGGGTGATGCTTGCCCCAACCGGTCTGTCCCTGGATCTGAGTGAGCCACATGTATGCCAGCAGGAACTGTAACACAGCATGGTCTGGGCTGCTCCTTGCCTTGCTTCTTGCACTCACCTGCAGGGGCTGTGTCCCAATGAAGGAGTTTTCCAAGCTCCTCTGTCAAGTCTCCTCCCAGTGGCAGTTCTTGCACACACCAGACGGGTCACTGGCCCATCTCCTGTCCTGACTAGAGCAGTTGCCTTGCTCAGCCAGCCACATTCATTCTGGTTCTTGCTGCTGGTTGTTGCAACTCAGCAGCAAGGCCACTCTTGAGCCCAGCTTCCTTTCAATGTGCACTGGAACAGCCGGGCGAGGCCAGGCCAACACCCAAAGCCAGACTCAACCCAGGTCTCCCACATATGCAGCAGGGACTAACAGGGTGCACGTTTGCATCAAACTGGTATCGAGAGCAGAGCTGGGTCTCATGCACTCTGCCAGGAGAGGCTGGCATACCTAGCAGCATCATCACTGCTAGGCCAGGCGTTTGCCACCATGCATCTCTCATTAACTCCAAGTGTACTGTAAAAATCCGACACAGCAATCATACATGCTATTGTCCTCGCACATTCACATTTTACATTTTTTTAAATTTTAAAATTTTTTTTAAAAGATTTATTTTTATTGGAAAGGTGGATATACAGAGAGGAAAATCTTCCATCTGATGATTCACTCCCCAAGTGTGCGCAACGGCCGGTGCTATGCCGGTCTGAAGCCAGGAGCCACTTCTGGGTCTCCCATGCGGGTGCAGGGTCCCAAGGCTTTGGGCCGTCCTCAACTGCTTTCCCGGGCCACAGGCAGAGAGCTGGATGGGAAGCGGGGCTGCCAGGATAGAACCGGCACCCATATGGGATCCCGGGCGTGCAAGGAGAGGACCTTAACCACTGTGCCATCGCGCTGGGCCCCACATTTTACATTTTGAAAACTTCTATAGCCATCTGTTTTGTAACATCCTGTATTAGTTACGTCACATAGCATTAGTCCTTCTCTCTTGGGAAGAGGAAAGTAACTGTGGGGAGCGCTGAGCACAGTGGCAGATGCCAGTCTTCTGAAACTACATTTGTCTGGAAGTTCAGATTTTGTCCTCTGCAAGCACACTGCCACTGGAGGCTTCTGCTGCCACTCACCATCCACGCCCAGCACACACCCACGTCCTCTGCAAGCACACTGTCACTGGAGGCTTCTGCTGCCACTCACCATCCATGCCCAGCACACACCCACGTCCCGTCACCAGTGCCTTCTGATGTCTCCTCAGTACACGTGGCTTCGTGAGAAAGGCCTCCGGGGGGCTTGCATCCCCACCCTCAGCAGCAAGAGCCGCCTCCCAGCAGCCTTGAGAGCAAGACTGAACACAGTCCTCAACACAGCTTCCCTGCGGCATGTTTTAATGCAATGTTTTAATGGAATTCTATTTTGCTCTAAAGTGTTCACCAGTAGGGAATATACTATTACAGTTCATCACTATCACAGTTTAATACAATCAATTGTATTTGTTGCTTCTGCACTATCTGTGAAAATATCAAAACAATGAAAAGATGGAAGGGCATCCATAGACCACAGTATGAAGGCAGTATAAAAGAAAATTAGGCCCTGGCGCAGTAGCCTAGTGGCTAAAGTCCTCGCTTGTATGCACCAGGATCCCATATGGATGCCAGTTCTAATCCCAGCAGCTCCACTTTCCATCCAGCTCCCTGCTTGTGGCCTGGGAAAGCAGTCCAAGACAGTCCAAAGCCTTGGGACCCTGCACCCACGGGGAGACCCAGAAGTGGCTCCAGGCTCTTGGCTTCAGATCAGCATAGCTTCGGCTATTGTGACAGCTTGGGCAGTGAATCAGGGGATGGAAGATCTTCCTCTCTGTCTCTCCTCTTCTCTGTACATCTGACTTTCCAATAAAAATAAAAGTAAATCTTTAGAAAAAAATAAGAAAGAAAATTAACTGAGCGAAAGCCAGAAATGTTGGCACAGTGGGTAAATTTGCCAACTGAAACGCTGGCATTCCGTGTGAGTGCTGCTTTGCGTCCCAGCTGCTCCCCTTTTGATTCAGCTCCACGCCGACGCGCCTGGGAAAGCACAGAAGGCCCAAGGGTTGGAGCCCCCGCACCAACTCTGGGGAACCACCCGAAGCTCCACTCGCGGTGTAGCCAGGCCCAGCCAGTCACTGGGAACCAAGCAACGGAAGCGAAAAAAAAGTAAAGAGAACAAAGAAAAAGGCCTAACTGTAACGCAGAGCGCAGAGTTACCAAGATGAAGAGTTAATATTACAAATATCTGCATTGAAAGCTGTAAAACTCCAAGCATTCTCTGCTTGTGCTATCATTTCATTTCAGTTTCTTAGATTCTGACTCTGTGCTTTTCAGTTTGTGAGTACACCATTCACCGCTTCCTTGGTTAAAACCTAAACTAAAAAAAAAAAAAAAAAAAAACTAAAGAAAAATAAAGAACAGATACTAAAGTCTTCCTGGAACATGAGTAGTAGAAAAGAGGAAAGAAAATACCATATAATAAAAGCGAAACTGACAGCAATAGCAAATCTAACATGGAATACGGCAGGACATAGGTTCTGCAGACCCCATTTAATAGATCAATAAACAGGAAAGGAGTCGGGCGCAGTGTGATGGCTCAGTGGCTAAGTCCTCACTTTGCACACGTGGGATTCCTCATGGGTGCTGGTTCATGTCCCGGCTGCTCCTTTCCCATCGAGCCCCAAGCTTGTACTCGAGCTAGGCCAAAGTCTAGAGTCCCTGCACCCACATGGGAGACTCAGGAGAAGCCTCTTGGCTCCTGGCTTCAAATGAGCTCAGATTCAGCTGTCACAGCCATTTGGGGAGTGAACCAGCACATGGAAGATCTTTTCTTTGTATCTTCTTCTAAATCTGCCTTTCTAAGAAAAAAATAAATGAATCTTTAAAAAAAAAAAAAAAAGAATTGTGTAAAGATTATCAAAATAAAAAGTTTTTGGAGTCGCTCTGTGCTGTGCACAAAGTGCTTTGTGTTTACTTGTTTAATTGCACAAATCCTTCATGAGACATGTTAGTTAGTTAAAACAGAGTTCTAGTTGTTATGTTTTACGCACAGCTGACTCCTAAAGCCTGGTTCTTTACCATGAACCAAAAACACCAGACGCCACGAGCTATCTTAGGAGGTTTTTTAAAAAAATAAACAATAAATATGAAAGCAGTAAACGCAGCTGCTCGAAGGAAAAGCTTTTCAGATCTAGCCTAGAAAACTGAAACATATTTAAAACAATACTAAAAACAAATCATCTCAGTTTCAAAACACAGTCAATTCTCCGTTACAGTACTCCAATCTCCCCCCTCCTTGGGCTGTGCCCCCCCCACCCCCGACCCCACCTGCTGGCCCGTGACAATCTACTTCAGATCAGGATTCTGGCAGCAGCAGCTACTGTCAGACCCCCGGGCGTGAAGCAGCTCCTGGCCATGGCGGATGCCTGGATTCCCATTGAATTTAAACTCATTACAGGAATTTAGTCATATGAACAAACAAGCATCTATTTTAAAACAGTACACAGCTACAATCAGAGAGCAAATTCCTTTTTAAAAAAAGCCTTTTTATTTATTTATTTACTTATTTATTTATTAGAAACAGTTGCAAGAGAAGGAACACACACCTAGCACCCTACGCCCCCCCCCACGGCTGCGCCCCCCCCCAGACGGCTGCGCCACACCCCCCGACGGCTGCGCCCCCCCCCAGACGGCTGCGCCACACCCCCCGACGGCTGCGCCCCCCCCCCCCCCCCAGACGGCTGCAGACACCAGCACCGGGCCAGGCCGACGCTAGGAGCCCCATCAGGACCTCCCGCAGGAGTCCAGGGGCCCAAGCACCTGCATATCTTCTGCTTTCCCCGGGACATTGTCCAGAAGTAGAACAGCCAGGACACAAGTGGTGCCCAAATGGG